ATGATTATTAATTCTCGATGACCTACCTAAGCACTCTGGTAATTCTACACAATCCATCGCCTAACCTGATTACCGAAAGACGGTTGTCCTCCGATTTCTGTGACTCATACCTACTAATAGACACCTTTCAACTCTTTCACTGTCACCGAGGCTCTGAAAAGGGTGGTGGCTGTCTCATCTATGTATCTAGAAACATCAAAGCAGAAACAACCATTGGCGCTTTCTCAATAAAGTGCCTGATTCGATATGGCTCACGGTGCACGCCCATGAATGTAAAATACTGACTGTATGCATATATCGAGCTCCAAACACCCATCGATCGATTGACATTGCTATTGGTGAGTCGTTTGCCAGAACTACCTTTCTTAAATTCACCTGCAAAATTATTTGAGTTGACTTCAACCGCCCTGCAATCAACTGAGATACACAATGCAGTCCATCACACTTTCATAGTATACTTAGTCCCTCAGACACATGTCCATCTGCCTGCAAGAAACAACAACACTCTGGACTTGATATTTTGTCATCATGTCACACTGATATCTCTGGTGGTCTGAGAAAATTTCCACAACTGTGACCGTAAAATAGTCCTCCACACTCTGCCGCTTCTTGCGAAATGCGACAAATGCCAAACAATTAAGCGTTTTCAATACAGAGACTATGAACACACTAACTGGGACAGATATTCGTTTCACATTCAGTACTCCGGCTTGACTACGTTCCTTAATAGACTTGAACTCTTCGAAACATTAGATATGTCCATTGTCACCATCAAATATGCACCACACACCACCATTCCTTTCTAAACGTCTTTCAAAACGATGAATGTTCAAAAATTGTATAAAACTAGGGCTAAGCTACGTAAATTAAAACAGGTATATTGCATATCTAAGGACTTCAGCATTTTGTACCAAATCTACGCGATACTTGAAAGCGTGAAAAAGCAACAAGAAAAGTGAAAGTAAATACAAGAAAGTAATGTACTCGCTACTGCATGTAAGTCCCAAAACTTCTATCCTGTGCCTAACAAAACAATAGGGAAGAGCTCAAATCACAGAATTCATTCTATACTATAGGGAGAGTAATTAAAACCAAATTGTCATTCTTGAACTTCATAGTATGTGCTTCTCATTCAAACATAACACACCACTTATATCAAATTTTAATATCAAATTTATCAACAAGAATGATATCAAAACCATAAACTTTGATCTTAGCAATATTTATACTGCCATTAAACCCTCAAACCTGATGTCAGCTGTAGTGCGGATGAATTACAATCATTACCCATCAGGATGGCAGGACAGAAAATTCAAGCGCTTTTGCTCAAAATGTTTACATTGCCTAATAGGCTGGCATGTACCTCGAAACCATGAAATTAACTCATGTTATCCAAAACTGCAGACCAGTTAATATCATCAAGGTTATCTCACGAATAATGGAGAAAGTGATAAAATATCAACTCTCTAATCACTCATTCAGGGAAGGTCTCATTGACTTGTCACAACATGTCTTCATCAGAACTTGGTCAAACACAAAATGTCTGATAGATTACTTCAATAAGGTCACCCAGCTACGTGACCAAAATCATCTATTAATCTTGTTGTATTTTGATATCAAAAAGGCTTTCGATAAGGTACCTCACAATTTCTTGATCAATAAACGTCAGTTCATTTGGATTATTGACCTCGTACTGATATGGATTCGAATTTTTCACGAACAGAAACCAAATTACTAAAATTAACTTTACTACTACTACACTTCGACTAAGTAGCAGTCGATTGGTAAAGGGTCCACTGGTTTTTATAACCTGTATCAGTCGTATATACAGCTGCTTGAACTCAGGAAGAAACTCTTCCGTGCTGATGATCTACAAGCGATTTATACAATTTAAGAATGTGACACTAGAAATTTGACGCAAACAAAACAGTATGAGCTCAAAAATATAGGTAACTTGTGTAAGTGTTGGAACTTAGAAAACAATACTGAGAAATGTGGCTGGATTTGTTTTGAAGACGAAAACTGCCAAAATTAATCTCACTCTCAGCAGGATTGTACTGCCTAAACTCACGTTGGTAAATGATCTTGGAATGTACTACTCACACACAATGTTGACACCTAATTCAGTGAATGACCACAGATGACTCCACTACATCTGAAGTTCCATTGTAGGCAACAAATTAGTCTTCAAATCGTACCATGGGAAATTCAGTAGGAACTCTGAATTACTGAGAAACTAGGGAAGGTTCCTAACAAAGTGCGGACAAGATGCAAAAAAACAGATAAGAAATGAACACAAAATATGATCAAGAAATTTTATCTCTTGAGGTCATCATCGATTGTCTTGATGACGGTGAGGGCGATGACTTTACACCACGCATATTCGCAGGTCAGAACATCATGTTTGCTTCAGGCTCTTTTTTGATTGACGAGATGACCAATCAGTGATACTGACTGACGAATAAATATCATCATTATTGTGCCCAAACGATGGAGATTTCAATGGTGCTATAAAGTGGAATGGAAGGAAAGTTTGGATATCGAAAGCACAAAATGGTTGGAACACATTCTAAAACCATTAGTCATGCAGTAAATAGATCGAAAGAAGAAATCATATCTTCAGGAATCCTTGAAATCCCCCGTAGAAAAATCTTTTGAGCCTCAGTAACACCAGGAAACGTTTCACCCAATATGCACTGAATAAAACCTTCGTAGGAACATTCGCAAAATGGAAAACATCGATACCACTACCATATTTAGTTTAGTTCTCGAACCTCTAAAAAACTCACAGTCAGCCACTCTACAACTGGCCTAATTTTTCTAAACATATAGTAATCTTCAGATAAAATGTTCTTATTGTGATCCACACCTATTCTCTTGCGTTTAACTAGCACTACAAATTTAGTCTGAGGTTATAAGTTCAGATGTTGAGTGCATCTAGCAGATCTATTAGACACAGAATGTATAAAATATTGTGAATATTACATCTAGCTTTGTACAGCATGCTGGTTCACTCAGCTCTGATTCCTTGTCCGGATTGCTTCAGGCAATTTTCCCAAGAATCCTGAAACAACTTCAATAGTTTCATGCTGCAAACGAAGGGGCTTCGGCTCATCGACCGAAAGAACACAATTCTAAGATCTTCCTTGCTACCACATAACCTTAGTTTTAGTTAACAGATAGAATTTCCAGGTTCCTTCAGTTTTTTTCACTCTATGGTAAAAAGTCCTCAACTTTCAGCCATTTCATTGCCTTGTGTAGAAGACTGGTTTCATTATCTGTCACGTGTTTATCGCTACCTGACTTATAAAACATTAGTATAATGACCCTAGAGATTTCATGAGACATTATATGGTGAAATTTGATTTTTATCATCTAATATCAAGCTTAATGTGAGTTTCAGTCTCTGAAGTCTCACTCCTCGTGATTCCATACAAAGATGACTTATTGCTTACTATGATCAAATGCGGTCGGGGTGAATAACTTCCATATTATGATATTTGGTCGTTTTTTACCACTTATTAATTTTCATTTGTCAGTGTTTGCTGGATTACTAGTCACAAATCCATAACAAACACTGTGAGATCCTGAAGAAATTCCAATTACTTGACTTGTTCTTCCGGCTCTGAGTAGATCAAATACAGCGATTAGGTTTCTAACTGACAACACCAAGGTTGCTGAGCAAAAAAATTTATGTTCTTCAGCTCTTGATTAAAGGAGCTGTCTGAAGTGAATCCGTGATTCTTAGATCAGTACGAGTGAGTCGACCTCAGGTGCACTGAAGACGACGGAAAGCAAATTTGTATCGACATAGCTTACTACTAATTCTTGACTATCGGCTAGGCTGATTTTCGGGTCCTCGACTTTGGAGGTGTTACAGAAAAAGGCTTGAATATCTACTACATCTTAGTTGGCCAGAGTAGCATGATCTAGTACACTTAGTGATAAAGTTTGCAGCTATTTATTATTTAACCTTAGGTATCGTAATACCCTTCTTGTATCCTTATAATTCTTGCAAATTTATATATTTTACTGTTATCATGTCGCGTCACACAGTTGTGAAAGCACTAGCACGTTATTCACACAGGTACGTTACACAGTATGTCTAATAGTGATGTCTATGTTATATCTCCAATCGTTAAATAACAATCACCACGTAATAAGAACGACACATCAATCAGAATTCCATTAAGCACAATGAGCCAACAGTCACTTTTAAATTCCTAATGGTCAAAAACTATGTTGCTTCTTCTACTCTATCTCCTGTTGAAGCCAGCCTGAATAAGATTCGTTACATCCAAGCTGATATCGTTTACGTATAAGACAATTGTCTTAGTGAAACTCACCAATGCAATGGCCTACGATGATCAGCTCTTTGATTTTGAGCAGCATGCTAGCACGACCACACGATTCCGTGTTCTATAAGCTATCTGAAAGTTGTGTGTGTTAAATTTGTGAATACATCGTGGTACTATCCATTACACTCACCGAACGACATTTAGACGATTCAGTCCAACCAGCAATCAAATATTTTCAACAACCACGTTGATGCAAAGGCAAAATTATTCAGCAAGCCGTGAATTTAAACTTTGGAACTTTATGGTACAACGAAAAGTCAGACTGTTGTGCTCAATTGAGGTGAAGATATAGAATAACTTATGAAAAGTCGAGAAAATTGTCACTTTAGATAAAATTATTTCAGATAAGTACGAGACAGTGATGTAGTGGTTTAAAATCTTCACGCATGCACTTCTAGTTTTTTTTCAGATTTTCTGAATCTTAGTGATATTGTTTACTATCCTCATTAAACAGATATGCATTTCGTGCGCCTGACCAGTCGCCGTTTCACTCCTCCTGATCGCCCTTTTCCATCAAGCTACTTTACATACTCCCCTTAGTGCACTTGGTACCTTCTAGTTGAATTCGAATCGCCATAAGCAGTTTTGATATGTATCAAATCAACAAAACCATATGAAAAGTAAAACAAACTGACGGCCTTCGGTAAACCAATCACGATACCCCTATGCAGCGCATGATTTAAAGTCTTAGCGTTGTAGCGAGTTTGGAACTTACGTTACCAAATTCTAGTCCTTATTATCAGTTAGTCTTCATCTCATGTTTGCTTTATTTCCGATTCTTATCGATTGCTTTTTCTTTTAAAAGTAAGTACATTAGATGTATTTACTGAGTTGTTGGCTAACCTTTCCTCTTGTTCTCTCCTGGATAACTTCACACACTGCTCTCCACACTTCCCCAGCACGTAAGGTACCTTCAGGCTAGATAGAACTTCGTTACAGACTGAAGTTGCACTGTTATCAAATTAAATACTTCGCACTTTCTGTTTCGATCTCTAGTTCATATATTGCCTTAACCTGAAGCTTGCGTTGTTGTTGATTGCTGTTTTTTCTGTCCTTATTATATTTAAGTGCGTCTTTATCTCCAGCTAAGTTAATGACGTGCTTTTTTTATAACTCCTTTTTTCGGCTGCGTGCTTTACTAGTACCTAAAACGTCTAGCTAGACGTGAATAACTTGTTTTCCATTGTGAACTAAGTGAAAACAGAATCCGTAAGGATTTCTATTAAACAACCAAAAAGTAAATTTATAATCAATCTTTAGCAAAATGAGGAAACATTTGCATGTTATGTATTGAAGTGCTTGTTTGATTCAGCACCTGGTCAAAGTGTTTATCACTAAATACCTTGAGATTCAAAGGAAAAACCTGGATGAGTGACAACTTAAGGACTTTTAGGAAGCAATGCATAGTATATTCCCAATGTGACTGAAAATTTCAGAAAGAAATCTCAGCCTGGAAAAATTAAGGGCAAAAATATCAGCCCCTCAAATTTAGTATCGATCATAACAACTTTCACCTATATATGGAATATCCTCCTTAAGCTTAGTCCTCTCTAAGCAAATATATGTTCTGATAACTTGTGGATAGAAGCCTGACGAATCGTGTATTCTTAGCTGGTGTCGTTTCGTTATTTATTTTCTAACCTTTTTGTTGGGCGGATTCAGAACTTCAGCCTAACTTTTAATATGTGACTCTATCCTTTTGGGGTCATAGCTTGTCAGTTGGTGGAGAAAACATTATGAAGTGATTATCCTGACACTTGCCCAACTTAATATTTTTCGTTCGTTGCGAGAAATAATTCGGCATGTGAGATTAATTACTCGCACTCAATCTATTATCCTACTGTTATTCTTTAGGTTTATGCTGTTAATTGTTTCATAACTGAGCAGCTTTTGTTGATTGGGTTAATGGATCAGCCAAGGTTGTCAAAACATTATACTGTTACTATAACATTTGTTACTTACGTTGTCTTTCCTTCTGAAATAACGCTTGTCCAACTTACCCTCCCTATCGTAGCTGTACTTATACTTTTATAGAATCGAAGCTTCAGAAAAATCCATTTTTTGGCTGTTCTTGCCAACATAAAGTTCCATTAAGTATTATGATGTAGACATGATGAGTGTTTTCGGCTAGTTAACTGTTAGTCTGGTTCTTATTAACATCTAAACGGTAAGCAAACTGTAATCGAAATCCTATTACTTATAAATGTTATCCCCTGTATCTTCTTGATAAAGATATATATCTAGGACTTTTAATTCTTCAGTTGGTTAAGAGAATCGTAAGCTGGCTAGTCCCCCGCCAATTCGTTTTGAGTGATGATCTAATGCAAGTGCTTTTAATAGTAAAATCCTCTGTTTCATATTGGCATACAGTTCGTCAACATCATCTGACAACTGCTTTATGTTGACACTCACCTTTGACAATTTACAAAGTTTAAGCCAATTTCAAACTAAACTCATCCCGAATTGCACTTATAAAACGTCTACAGGAGTGAGATTATGACCGCATGGCTAACGATGTTTACGCTTCGCCGATGGATACCCATATATGCTCATAGCTATCTACTAAGCACATAAGCATACACAAATCACTAGAACGAGATGCTTCTATAAACAAATTTACGGCAATAACGTGAAGACAGAGTTTAATTCTTACAAATTCTCGAATATTAGTAATCAGTTCAAGCTTATGTTTGACGATTAATATATTGTCGAGTTTAAATAACATAAACTCAGTATCTTTACTACTAATAACCTTTTTTGTCATTGTGGTTAACCAACTTTTCGGTGTTACCAACAGAATTACTGTCTTGCAGTTGACTAATGAATGGTATTTGCTCAGTATAACGCCGAACATCCTTGCTGACCGCAGCGTATCCGCGATGCACTGTCCTTTCACTCTTCTGTACGTAAGACCAAAAAAATTGCTTAGTATATGTTTTAAGTACCATGCAAACGAACGTAATCGTCAATTTTCTTTATTAAATAGGTTGTGTAAGCTATATGCTCCTTACCGTAGCACTATTCATATCCTCGATGGAAATTATCCAAATTCTTAATAGGTTCAGTCGAACTGCCTTATAACTTAAGATGAAGAAATAATTAAATTGAAGTAGTTAAGTGTTAAGAGTCAAGACAAAATAATTCTTTAGTATTATCAGTTCTAAACACACAAGAAATAGCCGACATTGTTGCTTCTCAAATGTGCGCATCACATAATGTACGGCATTTTCGCTAAAAGTCAGGAGTATTTCCTACACAATATAAAAATGGCTCATAAATGGTCGTTATGTGAGTCTTAGTCACGCTTAAGTCTCTTGTGTGAGAAATATACCATTCGTTTATGAATCTTGTGTGTCTCTAAGAAGTACGTTACTTTATGGCTAAGCATACAGACTGTAGTACGCAAATTTGTTATGTTTTTTGAAAACTGAATATTAGACGTGCTAATATTGGAAAAAAGTAGTCAGTCAGTCAGTTATAACGTATAAATTCGTACATACGTCCGTCATTTCAAGTTTACATACCACAACAGCAGAGCAAGGCAATAGTCAGTTCAAATCCCATAGTGGTATTTGCAATGAAGAAGAAGATAAGAGTTCGAAGATGCTTTTCAAGATGTGTAATTCAGTGAGATAAATTTAGAAAGAGAAAGGTATAGGTGATGAGGAATACAGAAGATTAGAATTTCAGAGAACACGAGGAGTGGATGCACCTGCACCATTGCAAACGATTTTGAGCCATGTCGTTCAAGATCTCTAACCGTCGATTACTATCATCTCGCGAACCCTAACCAGGTAGTCTACACCTACCAACATGACTCAGTCCACTTGTCAGTGACTTCAAGGATTTGTGCCATGTTTTGGTTAGGGCCACCCCTATGCTTCTTCCAACCTACTCCTACATCACATAACATAGTTCGACGAGGCAGTCGGTGGTTCGGCATTCGTAACACATGTCCCAACCATCTCAAATGATGAAGCTCCAATACTTCATGTCTTGTTTTACCATCCCTACCAAGTACTCGTTTCCTAACGACAGCATTGCTTACTCGGTTGTCCCAGCATACACGAGCAATGCTCTGAAGACACCTATAATCGAATACCAATAACCTACAAATATCCTCTACTCTTACCGGCCATGTTTCGCATCCATACAGTAGGACGTAGCAAACTGCTGCACAGTAAACTCGACCTTTGGTTAGCAAACGGATATCTCGCCGATGCCATAAGTGACGCAAGTTGACAAAAGACAATCGAGGCTTCTGTATCCGTGCGGAAATTCCGTCAGTCACCAGACAGACCATCAGCACTGATGAGACTCTCAAATAAGTGAAGTGATCAACACGCTCAACTATTTCACTCCTTATCATTAGTTGAGGTGCCGATGCAAACCAATCTTGAAGCAACATTTTGCATTTTGAGATGGAAAACGGTATCCCAAATATGCTTGCATTGTTACTTAAGGCAGTCGAAAGACTGCATTTTGCCAACGTCTTTACTAAATAAAACTGTGTCATCGGCGTATTTTAAATCAACAAGCGAGTCTCCTAAAAAGTCAGACGATGATAGTGTTAACTCTAAAGTCATATCTACGACAAAGTTAAACAAGAATGGATAGAGTGGACAACCCTGACGGACATTTATTTCCGACATTTCAGCCTCCTAATCGCATATATAAGTCCGAGCTCAAATGATTTTCAAAGCAAGGCTGGATCATCTCTGAGACTTACCGTATGTGATAGTATTGGTCGTTCTTGATATATTACTGCTGTTTATTCGCTCCTATTTAATATCGTTATAAAGCCAGCCTATTGATTGTCTCACTATCCACCCCCCATTGTTCAGGAATAACATGCAGTCCTCTTGCTATTTCTCTTTTTGAATAAACACACTCTAATATCCAAAAAAATAACATGAAGTGACCTTTATTAATGTTATCATATCTGTAATCAATATCGTTGATTGTATTTAGAATCTAGCAAGTTTTGATTCCTCACTACATGTGCGTACATTGTAGCAACTTTTTGTGTCATTCTTTGTAGATTACGGGTGCTAAACAGGTTTCGGGATTATCTTAAAGCTCTTAGTTCACACAAAATGAATTCTAAATGGCTCATTAATACAAGACTGCTCGTTATGCTAAATGGCCGATTCATGATCCCACCTAAACATCACATAAAATTGTGTTCTGGATTTTCATTTTTTTCAACTAAATCATCGTTTTGTCAAAATGATGTTATAGATGACATACAACTACGATCTACAAACCAAGTGTCTACTACAGAAACAGATGATGTTCGCAGAGCTCGTTTACTATATCAAAGTAGAAAACGTGGAAATTTAGAAAATGGAATTCTTCTAAGGTAGTCTGATTTTATACATTTATACAAGTTTTTACTTTATTCATAATCTTATGTTGTTCTTTTATTGGGAATTTAGCTACTCAAAATTAGATGCCAATATAATAATCTATCAATACTCAGTTTTTAGCTTCTTATAACCGTTTTAGACCTATCAGTTATTGGTAATTCCGTAGAACCGTGTTACCATTTTATTTGTTGAAAAGAACTGAGTTTGTTGTGAAACCATACGCTATCCTCCGAATGACAACACCTTTCACCAGATTAATCCTAATGGCTTGTTTTACTCAAAAAGTCATATTCAATGTCGATTGGGATAAAAACAATCTGTCAGTCATAATCCACAAGCAATTGGCCATCTCTCACAGTTACAAAAACATTGAATAGTTATTTACTCATTGACCTGTTGTATATCTGTTAAAAACAATGCAAACAGTCATCATTCCATCGTAGATACGTTTTTACTAGTAAATAACATTTGATGTTCAAAAATAGTTGACTGCAAATCTTCCATCATTTAACCAGATGCTTCCACCGTCATGCTGAACTTAATGAACCGGGTTAATTTTGTTGTTAGTAAGGTAGTTTTAAAAAAGTTTAATCGCGATAATACTATTTCTCTGGATTCAACGTCGACTACGATCTTATATACTAGATCTTTATGTTGAGGGAATTGATGAGTGTTTATGAAATGTTCAATGGTAGAATGGAAAATCGTTCACAGCAAAATTAGCGCTGTTCAGGTTAGTCCTCTTGTCGCGATCTTGCTGGGCTGCATTTGCTTTATAAAGCAGTAACTTCTTGTTCTTACAACTCAAGTTTTAACCATTGATTCTCTAATTTTAAACCGAACCCACTTTCATGGTCCAGGTGAACAGGTACGTAATTTTTTTAGGACACAATTTCGTATGCTACGTCACATGCATGTATATTTTGCTACGGTCATGTGGTATCAGCTATGTTTTATATGAAAAAAGTTAACAAATAATGATCACTTAATAACTAGGTTGATCACACCATAAAAACAATTAAGTGAACATGAATAGTCAGCCAAGATCACTGTATTTTTTAGGCAGATCAATCAGTCAAAGTGAATAGAGTCATAAGACTGAATTAGCATAAACATAAGATGGAGTTGAAACAGTAAACAGTATTTGTCTTTCGCACTAGTTATGTGGCTTTGCAAGCTTCTGCCTTCCCACTTTTGTTATATTCTCAAAAGCAACAGGTTCGTGCATTGTGCAGAGGCCTTTGTGGTCGTGTTGTTATTATAGGGTCAGTATTATTGTCTAGTCTAATTGCTGATTAGTTCCCTCAATGCTTACAGGACCTATGACTTTCTATTTTACCTATAAACCAGTGGCCAAGTGAATAACAACCGGGACTCCAACACCTTTTAATCGTTGAGAAACTCCCAGTACGGTGCACAATCAGAAGACTAATTTGGCAATTAGATAAGGTCCTTGTTGTGTAGCCGTTTAGTTTTATAACTCACCTCATACTGTTATGTATGGTAATCTGTTGACCACATATCAACATAAATTGAAAATCAAAATATACTTATAACGTAGTTATAAGTGAAAGTGAAATTAAGTGACAAAAACTTTGGAAAGGAGCAACATTCAAACGTAGTTTCTGCCCCAACAAAATATTACATTTGAAAAAATACAATGACACAATAATCCAAACATCTAATAATTACTCAATACAAATGTGAACAATAATTCTTCCTAAGGTAATTCGACAAGTTATAGGTTCATTGATATTCACAACTGTATGCAGTAAATCTTATCAATCCAAGTTTACAAATAAAATAGTTGTTTTCTCAATTAGAGTTATGGAGATTAGTGTTTTTACACATTTGAAATCATCAATCAATCATTGTTAGACCAACATTAGAAACCTGGAAGCACTTGATTGATGATTTCAAATGTGTGAAAACACTAATCTTCATAACTCTAATTGAAAATATCGTAAAATGTGCTCATTAGTGACTAGCTTCGTGAGGAAATTTTCGGAGTTCTAGTGAGAAGACGTGACCAGTGGAGTTCAACCCTGTCGGGTGTAGGCAGTAACTACCGAAGACAAATGGGTGAGGTCGCGCAAAATCTGTAGATCAATCAGAGTTAGACATTAACACCGTTAGGTGCCGGCCCAGTGGTCCAATGGTTAGGCGTTCGCGCACAATACCGAAGGTCCCGGGCTCGAATCCTGCGGGATGCAGGAGTTGTGAATGCGCACTGCTGACGAATTCCATACCAGGACGAAACGACCGTCCAGTGCTTCCAAATTTCTAATGGTGGTCTAACATTGATTGATTGATGATTTCTAATGTGTAAAATAGCTGTCCTTTTGACATTATTTAATCCAATTAATGAAGAAGAAAATCAATCTTCAATTTGTCATATTGTTTTAAGGGGATTTTAATTCAAATAACTTTCACTGCTATTTCATCGCGTTATTTTTTTTTGGTGTCGATACTGTTTGTTGACTTTCAGTGAATCTTGGTTTGTGTCGATTCAGTTAATGTGAAAGCAGTTATTCGGTTTCTAATGCATTTTTGATTATGTTCATAAATTCATTGTACTTCTGTGCATGAATGACGATCACGAAGTTGATAGATTTGGTATTTAATAATCATTGAAAGTAATTGATATATAATGGAATCAATTTGGATGTAAATCAATTATTCGGGGATCTTGACCTATACATCTACCTTACAAAACTTTCTACTGCATGGTGTATTATTGTTGAAATGTGTTGTATATTAGTCATCCGATCTATGCAGTTCTTATAGATCCTGTTTCGTATTAAGAGAGTTTCTCAACCGTTTGTAACTGTTCAATTCACATCAGTCTTAGTTGTTTTAAATATAGTAGGCCTAATCACAGTTAGACATTTCGCTAAGACCAAACAAAAGTTTTCGTATTACTCTTGAAAATTCTAATGTTTGGTGGTAGACAAGGATGATTCATAGAAATACGGCCGAATTCTTATATTTTAATCTCAAGATGACCCGATTATTTTGTCAGTTACATTTTATTATAATCTAGATTTGATAAAGATATAGATATATATTGATTGAAGCTTAATTACCTATAATTTTTCGTGCAATCCGAAAATAATTCTACTTTAGATGTGGCTAATTGTGCTTCGGATAAATGTTGTTTTACTTGATTGGATTTATTTGAGTCTTACATTTAATAACGTAAAGCAAGTGACTTAACATTCAAAACACTTGCATTTCACCCAGTAAGTTTTACCCTATCTTGGTTGTTTACAGCCAAAAAGTATCACTATCCTTTATAAAATGTTACTGAAACTGAGTACAAAAGCTGTAGATGGCGAGTGAGCTTTAAAAGGTGTATTAAGTTTCTTAGGTTTAAAATAACTCAGTTTTTATAAGTTATTCATTACAGTGTACATTATAATTAAATCTAGCATACTTTGGTCCATTTCAAATATCACTTATTCAATGTATGAGTGATTCACCTATTTCACAAGATCCTCTCATGGTGCTCTGGTGACTTACATGTTAATAGATTTCTATATGGTGACAGAAAAGTACGTAACACTATTGATGTGTTCTAGTTTCCTTGAAATCTGTTTATCATGTGTTCACTTCACAGCTCCTCTCATCCAATATACTCTGAGATCAAACTTCACATTTTTTACTTCAGTTTACACGGCTATTAACCCCTTTGAGTATTATTGTCACTCACTTTCCACAGTTTACTCTTTCCTCTCACTAAAATTCAGTCCAAGGTCTTTACGACTGCTCAGTGGAATAGTTAATCAAGCTAATTGTAGTAGCCTATCAATCAACTCGCACAAATCAAAAATATTGGCTACATACCATCATCAGAAGCCTACTGGTGTTGAGAAAAAACCAGATTCCAACTGAGGAAGAAATTAGGAAAAAACACTGGAGTTGGATAGGACACATTTCAGAAATCACCCAACTGCGTCACAAGCCAAGCCCTAACGGGCTGTAATAGTAGCAGTATCGCATAGAAACATAATGCATTTTCAGTGGAGCCAGATTGCGTCGAGTGTGGAGCGAGGCAGTTATCCACTGAAGATAATCAAAGATAGTCTCTTGATTTCGTGGATTGATTTGAGTTAGATATTAAAATCGTTGGATACAGACCTAATCGTGTACAGATTAACTGTTCGTACGCGAGACCCAAAGTTCTAGGTCCGATTTCCCAGTGCAAGGTCGCGTATACGCATACTAGGATGAAGCGATCGTCCGATGCTCCAAGGTTTTCAATGGTAGTCTAAAGTAGTTTAGTTCATGATTTCGATGAAATTCAACAATCTCAACAGCTCCTTACTGACATTAGATGTTTGTTTTAATCATTAATTCTTGACAATTCAATTTTAAGTTTCAGTCATTATTTTATAACATCATGATATTTTTTTGGAATTTTCATATAGTACATTTGCTGCTAAATACTTGAATTCAATGACTCATGAACAACTTATTATGTACGATAATTTAATCAATCTACCAGATAATGAATGGGATATTTACTATTGGATTACAAGTAAATTATCTTGTTATTCTTTTCATCCATTCAATTCCTTTGTATTGAGCAAATTTTTCCTGGTTACTGTTTTTTTTCAATTGGATTCTTTTTAACACCATGGAGTTGTTAACCTTATATCCAAACCTCTGTAGCTCGAGCTTAATACTGACAGTAACCCTGAAATGGCTCCAAGAAGAGTTTTTATGCAAAACGGATCAATAATAATTTGCTTGATGTCATTAATAGTATTTTTTGAGACCATTTTAGCTGAAAGCTAAATTTCGAGCGTTAATGAATTTAATAGATTCAAGTAGACACTGATGGTTAGTGTTTGTTTGATTCATTGATAAGAACATTCACTGATTTGTTCACTTATGTTTGAGACCATCTTTCAGATATAGGCTGTTACTCCAAGGTTGTGCTCAGAATCCGTTGGTCATTAGTAATTGAACGCTTAAAGTTACAATGAATGCATTATTGTACTTTTTTGAAGACTACTGGTGATTTATTGATTGCCTCCGGAAAAAGAATTTTAAGGAATATCTTGTGTCTATGGTCATATAATCCTGTCTGAGAGTGATAATCTGATAATTTCGAGTTACATTCACCTGTTACCTCTAATGAAGCTTGGGTTACCGACCAGCATTCTCTAACCGACTCTGTTCTGAGCCTACCTTAACAGTTCTACCCAATTGCTGTTCACTCTTTTCATGTCTGTCTCTAATTCCCGTCGCAATGTGTTCCTTGGTCTACCACTTTTCTTTCGGCCTTGAGGGTTCCAGTTTGGGGCTTGCCTCCTCATGCACTTCAGCGATTTCCGCGGTATATCCTAGCCACCCCCAGCAATTTTTCTTAATTTCTTCCTCAACTGGAATCTGGTTCGTTTTTTCTGCCATAGTAAGTCGTTGCTGATGGTGTCTGGCCAATAGATCCGAAGTGTCTTGTGTAGACGACTGTTAGTAAAGACCTGTATCTTTTGAGTAACGGTTTTCAAAGTTCTCCAAGTTTCTGCTCGTGCATGAAGTGCACGGTTTTGCAGTGTAGTCTATCGTGAGAACTCCTTATGATGTTGACTATCTTCTCAGGTATACCATGCTACCAAATACTTTCGCTTAGCCAAGGAGGTTTATGTAAAGTGATGAGTTCCATTAAAATGATTGTTCCACAATGATCTGTAATGTCGCTACTCGGTCGTTATGCGATCTATCTTTACGGAATCCAACCTGTTTGTCTCAGTTTAACAACAGTGTTGAAGACTGTTCCTGTACAGTGATGCCTCTGTATTTCTCACATTTGCCAAGATCTTTTTCTTGTCTGTTAGTAATTGTTATCCGCAAATCTTACTGAACAGTGTGAAAGATCTTGGTAGTTATTGCTGCATTGTTTTCTGTGACTCAGCTGTTATGTTTTCTTTACTTTTGTTTTACCGCTCTTGATTTGTGCTATGGCCATTCTAATTTCTTCAATTGTTAATGGGTTAACATCCATTTGGAGGTCTGTAGGTGCTGCTTCGATGTTGAGTGAGCTGGTCTATTCAAGAGTTCTTCAAGGTGCTTTACCTACCTGTTTTGCTATTCTTCGATTTCGGTGATGGTTTTTCCTTCTTTGTTCTTAACTGGTTATTATGATATACTAGGTTTTGCACTTGCTTCTTTGTCGTCATACAGCTCCCTCAACTTTCCTTCTCTTGCATCTTTTTCTTCTGTCGTTGCTAGGTCTTCCAAATACTTACGTTTATCGTTTCTAATGCCCGTCTTCACTTGTTTGCTTCTATGTATTTGGAATATATCTCGGCTTTGTCTGCTTTTGTTCGGCTGCCATTGATTGCTGCCTTCCCATTCTACTTGTCTTGAATATTATCCAGAATATGAACACAGATCCACAGTATCAACAAAGATCTATTCCTTTTGATGGTGCTTCTTGTAGCCCAAAACCTCATGACATGCTGAAGTTATTACTTCTTTGATCCTTTCCCAGTTATTCTCCATGGCAGTTTCCTCTTCATTGAGTAGAACTTGAAAGGCTTGAAAATTATTGTTGAGAGTTACCTTAATTTCGTTGAGTTTAACGGTATCCCTAAAAACGGCCGTATTTAACTTTTTTTTTGATGTTTTCTACCTAGTTTTCAAGTGTTTCCTGAGTTTCAGTTTCGTCTTAGCCACCACTAAGTGATGTTCTGATGCTATTATTTACGAGATATCATTTACTTCCTCTTTCTCTCATTCATATATTGTTTGTAAATAACAATATTTTTAATTTATTTATTATGTATATTAAGAATTGACTTAAATTTGTATTCTTGCATAATCATTACTACTGCCACTACTACAATTATTTATGATTAATATATTTCTTTTCTAAATTTTCGTCCTCATTTCCTTCACGTATGTTTTATACATAAAAGAAGCCAAAGAAGCCCCAATATATTTTCAAACAGATGTATTACGACTTCTTCAGGAACATTGTGAAAATAATCAAAAAGAACTACGAAATCAACAGCCTAGTTTGTATTAATTGTATTTTTTTTTGTAGAAAGGAAAACATTTGAGCAGTTTCGTTTATTTTTTTTTGCTCATTAGTAACTTTCATTTCTTCTCTCTCAGTCAGTCAGTGATAATATTTTTATCATCTATGATAACTACTTAGTACAAATCAGTTTAATCATTTTATTTCATAAATATTTATTTGTATAAAATGAATAAATTTTTAATATCATTAAATTCTATGCCTGGACTGAATTTACTTGTAATTTTTCGCATAGTTTAATGATGTTTATTAATAAAAACCATTTTCCAAACATTTAAAAAGTCTCACATTGTTTCTGGAAATCTATTAAGTTGATCCGAAAATGTTGTGTAGTCGTTAAAAATCAGTAAATTGAGCCATTTTTTGAAAGAAGAAAAATACTATAGCTTAATTGTGTATTCCAAGTATCCGCATTGTTTTCGAAAGGATGATAAAATCAGTGTTTGTTGACTGATCAATATAATCATTGGACTTGGCAATAATAACTATGAACGTGAATATGTATATCCCTCTCCTCATCCACTGATTGTTGTTTATTTTTGATTACTTAGAATTATGTTATGTGAATCAATTCATTTGGCAATGTTACGTCCTCTGAAGCGCATAAGGATTTAATACAGTGATAAATCTCAACTACACAAATATAGAGCTTTCCTTTTTTTCCTATCATCGACTTATTTAAAAGAAATGTTGGTTTATTCGTAAAGTTTTCATTATTACTTAAGGTAACATAATTAGCATATACATCTTTATTTAAAAAAAGATCGTAAAATCTCCATAATCATTCGAATCACGAATATTCAGTTCGTTCTACATACTTCCAATCACTTTATATATTAAAAAAGCTTTGAAGACTATTATTTCAACAATTTCTTCAAGTTTTATCCAATTAAAATATTAATTTGAATACTATCAATAATCTCCCATATATATAAACATAAGAATTTCGGCATCACACTTTAGGGGTATCTCTTAGTTATACTTATTTCGTGTACAAATTTCATAATGCTATGGATTTTATGCTCATATCTTAATTATGAAATCTGAATTGGTCGGTTTTTTGCATTCATTCTTCTAAAATACTTGTGAATTAGCCGATCTAATTTTAATGGACAATTATTACTAATAATTATATACTGTATGATAACAATGTTGATTTAGTAATACTTTGTTTCTCCATACCAAAATACTCCACAGAAAGTCGATAAATAGTTTTGATTAATTTTGGCGAATGTTGTTGATAATTAAAGTTATTCATAGTGTTTCAATTTCACCGATTCTAATCTTCAAGCTCTATGCTCTTCTGGAATTGTGAAAGTGAAAACTATTTGTTCTTTTCCTCAGTCTTTTGTCCTGCAATTTAATACTTTTTATGATGACTGTTAGATTTCTTAGTTGTCTAACTTAAATCATGCTCCATGATAAAAACTAATGTATGTTTTTTAATTTAAGTAACGTTTAGAGGAGTTGTGATTGGTGCTTTTATGACAAATTTTACACAACCTAATTATTTAAAACTGATACCTCTACATATCTCCGTTTAATCGTGTTTATTTTTTATCCCCAGTGATTTAAAACTATGTATATTTTCATCAACTCCAACGATGTTGGTGATTGATTAGGTCTATGTACAGAGCTCAAAGTTAACGGATAATATGTGATTTCAAATTATTATGACTAACTAGATAATACTATGATTTCTATTCTTTTTTTGAATACATACTAAATACTTCTTCATGTCTTTCATTATCTCATTTTGACTAGTATCTCTAACTGTAGCACGTCAGCGTTTTGAAGACAACACTATCTGACTTATCGGAAACAGAATAGTAGTATAGAAATTAAAGATATCAAGCCATGAAATCATCATATCTAAAACAGTAATATTGATTAACAGAGAGTCCGGATAATTACATACACAAACGCAAATCTTACGATTAGTTATATGAGAACTAAGATGGATTGTTAAAATTACTTGTTCTTTCACCACTGCATATTATATGTATAGATTGTATTGTTTGGCTCCAGTAGTTCCGGAACGCGATACGCTTTAGACATTCAGCTAGTACATGACAAAATACTCTTGTTGAATATATATATGGTTATATCTGTTGACACTGGAATTTTATAATTCCTTTCTTACCGACTATGTTTTTTCGAAACAGATGAGAAGCTATGTAAACATGCCTAATATGTAAGTTCGTGTATGCCTTGCGATGTCAATATTCAGCTTTTACAAAAAGGTGTATGCAATTTATGGAGCGTTTAGTAGAAGTTATTATTTAATTAAAAAAGTACTCATGCTGAAAATAAGAGAAATTAATTTTAAAAACAAAATAGACTTCAACAAACCATATCAATATAATATAAAAATAGATGAAATTCAAAGTTGTTAGGTAGTAAATGATTATTCAGTTTATATATGATTAAAGAAACATATTATGAAATGGCATTTTTTTTTCTAGTTATATCCAGTCAAAACGCATGATTATTAATGTTATTGAAGAACATAATTGATTTCTCATAGAAATAATTTACTGTTATTTTTTAAGATATAGATGTTCATTTGCTAGTCAATGAGTAAATATCTCACATTTTTTCTAATTTACTCGTCCTCTTCCTTTGTTCATTAGGTGAGACAATCCAACATGTGATCAAAATGTAAACAAAAGTTTTTGAACAATTAGTAATAATTTGATACTTTCATATATAATAATCTGTATGCATATATATATATATATATATATATATATATACAAATTTTATAATGAGTGTCCTAAAAAATTAGACTAGATTGTGAAGTCGTTGAGTAATTGTTTTTTAATACCATGGTTGAATCAGTACTATTTGTTTCTCTACTCCTTTTAGATCAATGGGGAATGGTGAGAAATCTAATTTTACTTACTGATAGAAACCACTAATAGATTTGTTTATTTAAGGGGATATAGAAGTATAATGAGCGCAATTACAACCTCAAAGATGCCTGTGAATATTTTATGGTGGTACATTTATCATCTACGGCAATAAAATTATTGTTGCAATTAAGTCAGTATGCTACTCTCCAAAAAAGAATTCAATGAATTGTGATTCAAGTCTCAATATTCACTTGAGTATATACTTTCGATAATTAATATATTTCTTTCGTTTTGTACACGTCTACCAACTAGTATCTTCAAATTCATATTTTAACTCCTTGTTTAAATGTATCGCACAAATTTTAGTCGAACTAAATTGTACAATCGGTAATCCTTTTAGTCACTTAATTAAAATTGATCAGTGTAAAACGAAAAGAATAAGATTGAGAGGTATTTTTTATGCCACGCAGGCACATTGAATCATTTCTATCTAGGATAATCATACGTAGAAAAGTAAAGATAATATAAGCAAGTATTTTAATATTTGTCAGTTTAAATGTGACTATAATCTCCAAAACATAAAACAATAACTACTTCACTAAAAATTTCAGATTACCTTTTTTGTTTCAATGCTGATACTGTATAAAATAATAATGTAATAATATCTACCTTGTGCTGGATATTTTAAAAAATGTAGGTGTTTTTTATTCCCTAACTAATAAAGAATTGTCAGTCATTTTTGCCATGATTTGCATTGTCCGAGATCTGAACGTAATACACGCTAACCTCCCCCAAATTAGCAGCTACATGGGCTAAAAAGCAAGTGCAAAGGAATCCATCTCTGAAGCAATGATATATACATTCGTTCTTTAGGACACTTCTGACGGTCATCAACGGACCTATCTAATTGACCCATCTAATCAACTTTCTTAGTCCTTTTCTAATATTTTTGTTTGTAAGTCAGCTTTCGTCAACTGTCAATATTCGGTCTTCTCTTAACAGGGTTTCCAATCGAGAAACAGTTATCCATATAATAAATTCATCGCAACACTCTGTCTCACATGTCTCTGTGGTGAATAAGCATAGCTCATTCAACAGAAGTATATATTTGGTTATTCATTTACTCAATCTAACAATGAAGCATTTTATCATCAAACAATCTGGAACATACTCATCATTCCATTGACCTGGTAATTTTAAAAAATAGGTTCATTCTATGTTACCCTGGAATAAATGAATATCCAAGGTCATCTAAGCTATTTCTTGCCAAGTAAACTTGATCAATTTAGTTTTAAGATCACACAAGCCTTCTCGATGCAAGAAACATAAACCTATTCCATACATTAATTATGTATCAATAAAGCCTTATAACACAGCAGATTTTAAAGAACACTTACTTTCCTAATGAACTAACGACCATGATAAGTAATTCAATATTTTAATGCAATTGAAACTTACCTCAGTTATGGGTGACGGTAAAAAACCCCATGACATGATATTTTGTTTTGATGATCTTACTTCATCATCATGTAACAATGATTCTCGCAATAAATTACTGCGCTTATCATTTCTGTTAATAGGCTCTGAATCAATTTGACGATTACTATTCATATCATTGTCATCGTCTTTATTCTTATGATTATTACTGTTATTATTAATGGGAGAAGTGTTTGACCATGAATTTTTTTGAACAATTATTGGTATACAACTAATCTCCTCAGTATCACTGTCACAACAGCAATCATTCAGTGAACTCACGTTATTTTTATTCAAATAAAGCATGCTACTTGCTGATTTTTTAGTAGCACAATCCATGTTATATAAATTTGAAGGTTCTGTAGTGGGTAGTACCACATCAGTTTTCTCAGTAAATGAGTGACTACTAGGAATAGTGTTATTCATTGAATAAATCGATGAAACAGCTAATGCTTTAAGATGATCATAAGGATAATATTGTTTGTATTGATTTGATTGTTGACTGGAATAATATGGATAATTACAAATAGAATTAGTTGAAGAAGTTGAATTGGTTAGCAAATTGTTTGTCAATGCAAACTGTTCTTTATTACCACTGTTATTGATATTCTTCTTAATGTTATCAATATCATCATAATTGTTATTTTTCAAATCAGGATTATTGGTATCAATGGATTTTGTCATTTCAACATTAACAGAGTTTAAGTTAGTTGTATGATTAGATAGTTCATGATCATGGCAATCTAAGATTTCATTTGACTTTGTTGTTGTTGTGAGTGAGACTGATGAGGGTAAACATGGTGTTTTGTTCGTATCTCTGTTTGTTAAAGATTCGTTAAATTGTATTCCATTTAATCCATTGGTCATTAATGTCTTCGCTTGTGTTTTTAATGATGGCGATGGTGGTGTTGTTGGTAGCGGTGGAGGCGGTGTTAATGATGAAGATGATTTTCTATTCAAACAATGAGATGAATGAACTGAACCGATTGTTCCACTAGATAGTTTCTAAACAATTTTATTTTTCATTTTCAGTTTCATGCAGATGAAAATAAAATTTGATTTGAAAAAACAGAATAAAGTATAATTATTATTTTAACTTAAACTAGTCAGTTAATACAAAAAATAAAAACTGAAAATTTTATTACCTTGTGAATAAGTGGAGCTAATCAATCAGTCTTATTCGGAATTGCTATCTTGTTATTTTCTGTTAAAAAAACAAATCAATTTGATTATACATTTTTGAAACCATGAATCGATTAATGTCAGACCACCATTAGAAACCTGGAAGTACTGAAAGACGGCCGTTTCGTCCTGGTGTGGGACTCCTCAGCAGTGCGCATCCACGACTCCTGCACCCTGCAGGATTCGAACCCAAGAACTTCGGCATTGTACGCGAACGCTTAACCATCGGACCACTGAGCCGGTATCTAACGGTGTTAATGTCTAACTTGATCAATTCATGGAGGTGCGCAACCTCATGCTGAGGAGTCCCATACCAGGACGAAACGGCCGTCCAGTGCTTCCGGGTTTCTAATGGTGGTATAACATCAATCGATTCATGATTTCAAATGTGTAACTTAACAATCTTCACAATTCCGTAATGTAATTTGATTATGTTGGATAGAATACAAGGATTTTTTGTGTTTCCATATTGATGTTGTTGTTTTTGTTAAGGTGTGCAGCTGAAATATGTGCGTCCTGAATAGATTATATCAATATTGTTTTTCAGTCATAAGTTTTTTTTCTAATCAAATGTGAATAGTTGGTAGCATTAAAACCTATGACACTGGTTTTTATCATATTTTAAACTCTTCCACTGAATATACCTCCATCTTGTCGTGGATGTGGCAATATAAATTAAATTCTTTCAAATATCCACATCTGACAATAAAAATTGATCGCTTACTATTCCTTAATATTAACACCGATTCAATACTAACTATAACAAATCAAAGTCATAAATTTTGTACAAACTAGTCGTTTTCTCTGTTGATTAGCTCACTGAACAACTATCTGACATTGAAACAAAAGTTTCTGTGTTTGAATTTGAACCCTAACATCAACATTGGGATGCAAGTACATTCAGCTTATGAGTTCTAAATAGAGAAAAATCAGTAACCCCCAAACTGTACTGTTAGCCAAAATTATGAATATTTCATTTCAACTGTGTACTGAAAAAATTGACATTTGTAAAAAGTGTACATTTTATCAACTACCTGATGAAAAATTAAATTGGCTATTGTTATTCGTTTTGTCTAAAAACGTATTATTGTAACACTAAATTTAACTATAATGATGGAGACTTATCTGAATGCAAATATTTTTGGCTAACATGTTCAGGATAAGCAGTAGTAGTAGTAGTAGTATTCTGTTTTTAATCTCAGTTGTATGAATATACACCTACCATAATTGCAGATGAATCAATTAGAATTGAGAATGACTTTCGAATTTCTGTGCGAAATTTGAATATCATGTATAACGAGTAGTAGAAATATCATTGTATACTTGTTAAGCCGTTCATAATGATAGTGAAAAACTACCTTTTATCACCATTGAGTAGAAATAATATCTAATTTGTGATTCTGAATTTTAAAATTTTATGTAATGAGCGGACTAACACTATCCGGAAATCATAACATAGAGTCTTTAATCCAGCGACTGATCCTAACTTAATGAGATTATGTTTTAAGGGCAAACTAACCAGATGATGCATCTTGTATTTCTGAACGAAATTAATTCATCCATATATCTACAGAGTATTTTTGCATTATAGCTTGTATCAGTTCGTAATGAGAACCTTAAAACTCTAATCTTTTATTATAAACAACAATGTTGAGGCTTGTAAAACTCCATTTGACTCTTTTTAAGAACTTCATGGTGTAGAGAATCTATATTCACAAGTCCAAATTCATATGTCATTAATCTCCCGATTTACAAGCAAGTTATCCTATAGAAGTCATTAACAGATTTATCAAATATTTCAATTCTGTTAACATTATGCGATATTATTGCTTCCCTTTCGATAAGATATTTATTTATGATGGCTGCCTTTTGATTGGCTACAAACTGTCTTGCATGTCATCACAATTATTTTAAACCCTTTCATATACTATACTTGTACCGCTAAGATTATTTGCATAAGTGATAGTTAATCTAATACATTGGTTTGATGTCATGGTTTAAATCGCAAATTAATCGTAGCTAGACCACTAATAAAAATAGAAAGTGATTGAAATTAGACTTGTATACCATTAGACTGCGGTTCAGTGGTTACGAGGCTAAGCGTTTATCCTCGAGACTGAAATACGTGATTTAGATTTATGGGTCCCGGATTGTGAATGAGCACTTCTGATGGGTCCTACACTATGATGAAAGGCCTGTCCAGTTCTTTCTAGTTTTCTAATTAAGATAAGTGTGTAATTTAAATTATGAAAATCCTGCAATTTTCTAAAAACTTCCGCTGAATGAATAGTTTACGTTGTTTTTCCCGACTATACATAATAGAATAAAGTTTGTATTCAAACATAGATCATCTGGAAGTCTAATAGGATGAAAATTACAAAATATTATTTCTCGCACTTTTCCTTTTTCTTCTGCGACTAGTTCTAATACTACTGATAGTATTGAGGAGATTGTTTAAACTTGAAAAGCTTTCATCATTTACCTTCCTAAATAATCTGATCTTGGTAAAAAACTTAAAAATGTTTGAACGGTTAGCATTGATTTACATACAGACTAAGAGATTATTCATTTGATACAAAATTTGACTGTTTAGTTTATGTGACAATTAATTTTTCACTATTTGTACATTTGTGTTTGGCTGGTTTTCGCTCAATGACTTCCTCATTGTTTGTCCCTTTGAGTTGATTTAAATGTTTATTGGTTGAGGATAACCACTTAGGTATCTAATAATAGTTCACTGTTCTTCATAGGGATAGATTTGGGCATGATTTGAATATTTTCTCGTAACATAATTATGTTTATACCAATGCAGTATGGATGATTATGAAGAAATTCCTGATACATCACTTCTTTCACGAAGTTTATATTAATGATTTTATGTGGAAAGACCATTCCATCAAATTTACACGACTTAATTATTTAGTTAGGCGATAGAAAACCATATAACAATGATCTTTCTGAGCTAGACAACTATTAATTATTGCACAATTAATCAAACAGAATCAATCAATTAATTCAGTCAGAATATATAAAGACCAGTTTTTGATAAGACTTCTATTTAAACAAAATCAATAACTCAAAAACAAGCGAGTAAATTATGATGCATACATGATAAAACAAAAAAGTACAGCTTAATACCTATACCTACTTGATGTTTCATTATCTTCAATAATTCATTGTTAAGTCCAGTTACAGAAAGTGGATCATCATGTTCAATTTTTTCCGAGGTCAAATGATCATTCGAATCAAAATTGCTAATAAATGAAGTAGAAACAATGATGATAAGACATTGACTATAAAGTAACTGAAATAACAATGATTCAGTGAGTAAAACAAACTAATCATTGATCTAGGTGAGTAACAACCTGTGACATCAAATAACCATCAGATTGACTTTATTTATTTAAGGAGATAATTAAAAAAACTTAATTTTGAAATATAGGTTGTGAATATTTCTGTTGTTCTAATCTAACCGAACTTGTACATTGTACACTATTGATTATAGAATATTTTGTTTAAATTATCATGTTGAATATTGAATGTAACTTTTTTTCATCAATTGATTATCACTCAAACTACACTGAATATTTTAAATAAATTTTTGTTCATAATTATATCTCTATTACTCTATGAAATTATAATTAAAAGTTTGTTGACATTTTTATAATTTGACGACTCAATCCTAATTTGATGTGTACTTTTGGGAAGTAAACAATAGATTATGCTAATTATTTAAAAGTTATCTTTATTTTCAATTAAAAAATAGTGGAGATTTGAACTATTTCAAGTTGCATCATTTCAGAATATGCAAATAATAATTATGTATTGTGATTACTTTGAACTCAACCTTCTTCTATAATGATTAGTAAAATATTACCATTTATAAAATGAGGTGTAGATGTTACAAAATTGTTAAATAGTCTCGACATCATTGTGTCTTCTTTTTTAATATTAAACAGTAAGAATTATTGATAATCCAAACAGATTTTAAATATTTGAATGAAATACATAATGTTAACAAAAGTTAATTGAAATAACATAGATAGTTTCGAACAAATTGCATTATATTTTACATTGGCCCATTGTTTTCATATGAAATTATTCAAAAGATTGTAATCATTCAGAGAGATCATATATTTCTATGGAAAGTCTGTCATGAAAGAAATCAGCAAATATCAATGACATTTAGAAAATCCATTCGTCATACAATGAACTTATTAATAATAATGTTATCAAGATTTATAAATAAGCATTTTTATAGCAAGTTATTCATAGTTCTAACTTTAAAATAATATTTTTTTGTGTCATCATTATGATATCATCGTAACATCTAACCAGAATCGGGCTGTTTTTCAAGAAGTAACCATATTTGAGTGTTTTATTTAGTAGTAAAAAATGTTCAAAGTTGGTTAATGCGTTATAGTCTTTTTCCTGAATTCTATGTATACCATTAACAGGAAATCGTAGATTCCCTAGCCGGAATCATATGTTGGACCACCCAGTCTAATAGCTCAATGTTCACTTTCAATAACCTACTTGTTATGACCTACTCCGAGGTTAGAAACAGTAAATAGGACATTCTTATTAGTCGTTATAATCATGCTTCCTTCTGAAAGTACAGTAAAACAAAAGTTTCACATCTCGTTACCAAAACATTGAAGAGTAAAAGACAAATCAACCTTTTGCGTTGTAATAAGATTTTTTTTAGTGATGTTGCAAAAATCAAGATAACGAGAGTGATCCAGATATACCCTGCATCTAAGTAAACTCTTTGCTTTTATAAAAATTTTATGAAGATATATCTTTGATGTATCCTCAACTAACCGACGTTAATCGTTTAGGAAGAGAAGTCGAAGAACAAATCTACATTCTATATACTTGAGATAAATTAAAACTTTGAAGAGAAAATTCGAAAGAACACTATTAGACGTAAACAACTCAAGTTACAACTTCTCTATCATAAGCTATGATTTACACAGTTTTATGTTTTCATTAGATAAGATTTTCACTGGTAAATAAATAATATCACACGAAAATTCATTAATCGATGAAGTTTATTGTGGTCTTTGATTAAAAAAAATCTGAACAGAATTACACAAAATTATCAGTTTACTAAGAAATGTAGGGAAGAAAAGAAAAAAACCCTTGATCTGTCTTTAAATACTACTTTACCAAAAATCAAGTTTAAGCATTTTAGATATTGAAAATTTATTAGTGTTGTCATACTAAATGAAGATGGATTCTGCTAATAAGCTGTCATATGGAAAAAAAACCTAGTGCGCAAGGTATTATACGATTAACTTTTCAAACACAACGCTGAAAAGTTATGAAAAAACTCAGAAAATTATTTGCAGACTATGAAACACGAATAAGTATCAGTCCAAGGTGCCCTAACTCACATCAACATGAGTGATAAAAGATGAGAAACTAAAGAGATAAAGTAGCAGATCAGAATGATTGGTAGTCGGGTTTTTATTATCGTCCTGATCTTGATTTTCAGGAGTCGATTTTAATCAGTCACCATTGATATACATGTATTATAGTGGATTCCTCAGCATTATATTGTCATTACAAGTATTCAGGTATGCTTAGATTGTGACCAACAATGAAATCCTGAGACAAACAGCTGTATTATAGACTTGTCAACTGGATATAACTTTATCTACGCATCGATGTTTGCAATAAAACCCTAGTTTAGTACCTATCGCTTCAAATGTCATATCATTCATCAAGTTTAGAAGTACAGATGTACATTAATTTTTTCAATAAATATGACTATTGTATTTATTTTTACTGATATCAACTGAAAAAAAACTACTTAAAAGCATGGAAAAATTGCACTTGTTTCATTGACTGCACAATCTGATAATCATAACACATTCACAATTCAGACAGTATCATTTACTTCTAAGAACTTTAATTTTGTTAATAAAATAGACTACATTAACAAATTATAATTTTTGTTTTTTAACATATTCATATTTGAGTTTATTCTAACGGTGTTCCAATTACAAAGTAAATATTATATGAGGAAATTATATTTTCAATGTGAACATATAAATAACACTTGAAAAAGTGTAAAATTAATAATGAGTAAATTTAGGCAAAAATTAAGTAAACAAGATACTTGTACGTTTACGAAAAAAAAAAATTGTCGATAATACATCTTAGTTATTAATGATTGGCTATTGAATTGAATTCAGTCAGAAAGTATTAAGTCATGAGATGTGATTTTTAATTAAGAGGTATTGAGAAACTGAGTACAGTATTAATATTTATGTAAAGAGCAATTTGTGTATAACTATATGCAATATCGTTTCAACTTGTGTAGTTCTGATATGTTTGGCCTGGAAAACACTCTAAATATGAAATTCCTAATCTATATTTAAACTTCTACGATTTCATGATGCGCTCGTCAGTGGATATGCTTGAATGCTATCACGAGTTCACCTTACTCGGTAAACGGAACGAAAGCAATGATACAGTGACACGATAGACTATTCTAATCCCTCTGTCCCTGGCCATGCTAACTAGATCAAGAAGTCTTAATAAGGCGCAGAAAGTGTATTCTATAAGCACCCAGTAAATACGAGGTTCACAAGCGCATAAATCAAGCTTATTTATACAATGGTAGAAACGCCCTTGGGAATGTGACAAAATAGCGTACTAAAATAATCTATCAAACAATGAAAGTCGAGGATTTTCCGAGATAGAAATGTGAGCTGAAGGCCAACTGGCACGAGAACATGGAAATTCAAATTTCCGAATAAAATTACAAAATTAGGACCGTTTCAAGTCAGTTCTGGGGATCTAAAGTCCCCAACATTTCAAAAATTCACTGAACGCGGGCTACGGAAATATAAAAGAATCTTTACTTGTAAAGTTTATTTCAATTAAAAAAAGCCCGATGGTTTTTATTGGTTTATAAGTGACATTTATGACTACAAACACCATTACAAAATGCCGTTTGAGTAATCAAATTCAAGAAAAACTCAACAGTTTTCCAAAGTGTTCCCAATACACTGTTGCGCTAACAGTAATTTTGGGTACTTCGCCAGCTTCTTCAGGATTTTTCAAAAGATAATAAATCTTTCTTAACAAGTTCAAATAAAAAATTTGACAGTTCCCTTCAATCACCTAACATGGTGAAAAAAATAATAAGTTGGCTGAATTAATGTAAGACTTCAGCATAATAATTGATTCGTCTGAAGACACTAAGTTCTAATCAGATGTTTTATTTCAAGTGTATACATAATTTGATATTTGTGAGTTATGTAAAATTACAATGACTAAATCAATTGTCTAATAAGTAATATTTAATTGTTTCGATATGATAAACTTTATTACAGTTTTTGTTGCAATTAATACGTGATCAATGTTCAGTGTATCATATAAAACATCTATAATAAGTTTAAATTAAATTATTCTATATAGAAATAGATAGAATATGAATAACGATGAAATCTATGACACATGTTTCGTCCTATTTTCGACTCGTCAACCTAGATGCCAACCAAGACTGATCAAATTTCAACTAAAATATCAACAACTGAATCATCTAAACCATTTTAAATTGAATTAAATTACATGAGCTTGAGTAAATCTATTTTTCATTTTGATTATACAATGAATTAAATTAGATAAATGAATACAATTTACATAATAATAAAAACGTTAATCATATTCTTAAATTCAACAACACTTGAAATAATCAACTGACCAAAAACAAAAATCCTCATCAAATATTAATTATAAATATTAGATTATTCGAATGTGAAACTGTTAGGATATTCACCCAATATCCTAAGAGAATAATTGGTCAAATCCTATTGGTCAATATTATGGTCGTTTTAACTTCAATGTTGTCTCTTATTGGTCATCCAGACTGTCAATGTCATTTCAAATGTTCTTTCTTATTGGTTGTCCTGACTTTTATTAGCATCTAACATAATTTCATGAATAAAAGTCAACTATTCATCTTAGAAAACATTCTGCTAAACTATTCGATGTACATAAATAAATTAATATAAACATACCTACTAGACATTATTCGTCCAATTGATGAACTTCTATATGTGGAACCTTCATGATCTTGACAAGTCATTATACTTGATGCTTTCCATTTAGTAGCTTGAGTTGCATTTTCCATATTTTGTAATGATTTAGCATATGATATATTCAATTCTTTTGAAGCACATTCATGCAATTTGTTAACTTCTTCGAATAAATAATTTAATATCTGGCAAAATGTTAAATAAAAGAAAGTTGTAATGGTTTAATCTGCATGATGATTGAAAGAAAAGTGTCTTGGTTGCTTAATGAAGCTACAAAATATAGGGCTCAAAATAACAATAGAATGGTGATTGAATGCAAATCGAGATTGAGCCTGAACTTTTAATTAACTAGGACAGAAATAAATAACGCTGATGTTAAGATATTGGAAGCGATAGAGTGGAAGGTGTTGCATACTTCTGCGTTCCTGTTAGAAATATACTACCAATTCTAACTGAATTGATATCCGGCTCGGAACTCGAATGCATATCATCAGTTGTTAGTTAGCTGGAAACTTAAATCTGTTACTCGATTCCTTGAACAAACTCATTTTTAGTTGTTGAATCAATGCCTTTCACAATGATTTTCTCAAAATGTTGTCGACAAAAATTCATGTTTATTTTTAATATTCTGTTTAAAAGCGTGTTATTTTAAAAGGGGAAAACATCCTAGCCCTCTGAATAGATATTTTGTGTTCTGATATTAGTTCAACAGGGAACAGATAACGTCAATCAATCAACCTCGTGAGCAGTCATCCCTTTTCAAAGCTGTATCATTGAATCTATAACTTAATCTTTCATTTTAACAATCATCATCACATAAAGAGGAATGAAGACACAAATAATTTTTTTGCTGTACTAAAAGACAGGAAAACAGATAGGTGTAACCAGAAATAGGAATAAATTAACACCAATGAGAAAAGTTGAGTTCCCATTTAAAGTCACAAAATAGTCAAAATTCTTCCAGAGAGGAGAATCAGATTATCACATTGCAATTAGTTATCAATCATTGTTACAACAGCTCTACAATCATTTTATGGCAAGTAATTCAAACAATAAAAGCATTCATACTAGACGAACAAATATGATATTATTTAGAATAGAAACAAAATTATTAGCTTCGTTTGACTAATGAAATATTGCCATCAGCGAAAACTGTTTAGTCGATTCTTTTTGACTATTCAGCATTGAAAATGTAATAATTTTAATTATCTTTACTTCATATTGTTCACAGATTGAGATAGACAATTATTTCTATGATTTTCCGTAGATTACTTCCAACTGCCTAACATCAACACCTAGTGCGTATGATGTTGAGCTACTTCAACTTCTTTTACATTCCAACTTGGTGCACTTGAATTTCTTTAGCACTAGGACTTGCATGAACGCAATATTAACCACTACTCAGTGACTGGCTTTTGCCAAACTTGCTTCACTTATGGTATAGTTGAGATATTCGTCTGCTAAGCAAAGGACTAATCTACTGCGCAGTCGTTCGATCAGTCCTACTTTATGGCTGGGAAACATAACCAGTAACAGCAGAAGGTATTCTTAGGTTGCTGGTTTCCGATCATACGTATCTTCAAAGTAATGTTCGTACATCCTTGGACAACTGAGTAAGCAATGCAGTTGTTAGGAAACGAGTACTGGGTAAGGATGGCAAATCAGTCGATGAAAAGGGTGTAATTTCATTAGTTGAGATGGTTGGGACATTTGTTACGTATGCCCAACCATCGACTGCCTAGAAGAGCAATGTTTTGTGGTGTAGGAGTAGGTTAGAAGAAAGCTAGGGGCGAACAATCCAAAACATGGCACAAATCCATGAAGCCACTGACAAGTGGACTGAGCCGTATAAGTAGGTGTCGGCTGTCTGTTTGAGGTCCGCGAGATCGTTTGCAATGGCACCAGTGAATCCATTATTTGTGTCTTCCCAAATTATAATCTATTTCATTAGATTATACTTGTTGAGTAATATCTTCGAACCCTAGTCTTCTCCATTACCGCTAATGCTTTTATTATCTTTACCACAAAGGTATCTGAACTGACAATTGCGTCTCTGTGCTATTGTGATATGATAACTTGAACTAATGTACATACGTACGAATTTCCAAGTTATAAATGACTGAGTGAAAAATCATTAGTACATACTCCTATCATACAAGAGTCTAATCTTGTCCTGAACATTTCCGCGGTCATGTCTCAAGCTGAAGAGATAGGTAACCTGAGTTCGAATTCCTCAAGAAAAGCAGTTCCATCAAGATTTGATTCACATCCTGCTGATAGGTGACGTAGAGTATGAAACTTAAATTTATACTTTCTTGTCGACCACGTTCAACCACCTAATATCATCTATTTTCAATAGATGATGATATTGAGGAAAATTATTCTTCTTAGTTGCTTATGTCACTCAATATATATAAACTTGTTGCTTATCTTCTCTAAGACTGACCTATCTAACACGAAGTATGGAAATATTATCGCACTAGACAATATAGTTTTACTAGTTTTTCTGCTCCAGGTAAAATTAGAATATAATAACAGTAATTTTTATGGTAAATATCATTCACTAATTAGATGATAAAAATTTATTTCAATAGAAAAGTAGGTGCACATTAAAATAAATCTCTAGTAATGCTAAATTATTGTTTTAAAATGGCCACAATGTATTGCACAATTAAGTTGTCTGTAACCTATAAAATAAACAACATTAATCTATTCTGTTGTTGTGGTCTATCTAAGCATTGACGAGAAGAAAAAGATTCATCATCCTTATATGCAAACTAATCTCATGATCGGGATTTGTAGAAGTTATCGGATGGCATAGTTTACATCAGGCAGTACCGTTAATTAGATAACCGTTGAACAACAAGAATTACTAGACGATTGCACTCTGCCAGTGCATGCCCACAACCCCATACGAGACTTTCAGATGTCAAAGTAGAAGTTTAAGCTTAAGATCACTGAGTTGGCATTCATTGGTTTACATATCTCACTTCATTGAATTCGACATACTCCTCAACCATTTCTTAATAAAGCAATAACTATGTTAGAGGAGAGAGATTAATTTTGACATGATAAGCTTTTTTTTCTACATCAGAGATTAGTACAGATGTTAATTGGTTGTGTATTCCTTAGTTCATCATTCCAGGCAAGTTTATTACTTATGAATTAGATGCCTGAAATTGGATACATTCATTATATTCACCAAAAATGTATGCATTAATTACATTAATTAAAAATAAAACGTCATTCGCTTCTTCGATTACATCTAGAAAAAGACTTACAGAATATATTCGATCACTGAATTGTTTATAAGTTGACACAAGTACAAAAAGTGCATCACAACAAGCCATTGTACCTCTTAAAATTTAAAAAAAAAACATATATCAAATTACTATATAATAAAATTTAAAACGAAAGAGAAAATATGATGTCATAATTTGTACAAATAAAATGAGATATACATTTATACATATGTATATATACTGTTAGTGAAAATCAACTTAAATAAACCATACAATACCGCTCCATTCAAGTCAGATGATTTGAAACAATCGTTTTCTTAAGTTTGGTCGACCTGGAATGGCTAAGTGAAAAATTAGTCTCAAATAGACTTAGACAAATTAACTTATTCTGATTAAACTAAGTAAATATTGTAATTGGCTTTAGTCAGAATATTTCTATCCTGAGTCTAATTATGAATAATCTGACAATAACTATGAACAAATGCTGGAATTTTAATAATTAAATTTAATATTTCTTCATATGCATTCAGAATGAAAGTTAATGGCTTTATGGACTGAAGTTATTTCTTAGATTGATTACCACAAAACTCCCCTCTCCTTTACACTTATTCTATTTAATATTGTACGTCAGGCGATGAACTGATTCAACAAATTTGTTCTTGTTAATCATGTTTTATGATTAGAAAAGTATCAATGGAAACTTTTTTTAAATACTGAACCCTTGAGATGTGAATTTAATATCAGACAATTATGCATTAATTTATTTCATAAATCCATTTTTTTAAAAGTTTATACTGTTTTAGAAACTGTGCCAGGAGCCCTTCTAGTGTTACTGTCTGTCTCAAGTTTGGATAAAGGAGTAGGGTTGAACTTGGGGTCAACGACCCCATCTTGTAGAAATCCAACTCGGTAAAATATACGCTAATCACAAAAACACTTTTGGTGGTGTTTCGTTCTCTGAGCTGGTTGTTTTAGTTGTGGAGCTTTCATTGTTCTTCTGAACAACATCATCAGCACAAACTTCAGATAGAAGTGAAGCATTCGAATTTCTCCATGTTTGACCTGTAGCTTGTTCTTCTGACCTCGATCTTGATTGGTTGTTGTTGACCTTAAACCTGTTGTTGTTTGCACATTTGTTTTGATTGTATCCTCTTTTTGAACTGTTTCTTGATCCTATGTCCCCTATGATTTTGCTGATTCGAATGCTTCACTTCTATCTGAAGTTTGTGCTGATGATGTTGTTCAGAAGAAGAACAATGAAAGCTCCACAACCAAAACAACCAGCTCAGAGAACGAAACACCACCACAATCATCAACCTGAGCTACAAGTTTTCTCCACCAATTAGGGGTAACAGGCATAAGTATAGGAAATAAAGTAAATACTTGTGAAAGAAACAAATAAATCAATAAGTAAAACATTAATTTATCTTACTCATTTTCAATTGAATTCATTTTATCCATTAAACTATTAGTTAAATAATCATAATTCACTGAAGATGCTCTGTAATTTATATTTGCCTATTATTAAACAAATAATAGAAATTTAATATCGGTATGATTAGAGCACAATTTAAAAAATTTTTTAACAGAATTGAACATTACAAAATTACTGTTCTACAGTTCATCATATTGAATAAGGCTATTGAGATGGTGGAGAAGATTTCTAGCTCAGGTTGATGATTGTGGTGGTGGTGTTTGGTTCTCTGAGCTGGATGTTTTGGTTGTGGAGCTTTCATTGTTCTTCTGAACAACATCATCAGAAGAAAAATGAAAGCTCCACAACCAAAACACCCAGCTCAGAGAACCAAACACAACCACCAGAATAAGGTTGTTGACTGATTTGATGAGTTCGTTGATTCATTTTCTCGCTCAATAATCGATCACCCGTTTTTGTAATAGCCTATGAAGAAAATGCTTCAACTACACAAGGAGTTGCACTAACGCTGTCCAAAAAAGCAAAACAGGTACTTATAGGATTGGAATCTCATTGACCCAGGATCATTAAAACATCCTTCAAAACAAAGAAACAGGGCATTACAATGAATTCATCCAATGCTGTGCACCTACCAATGACTACAACAAAGACGTTAAAGATCAATTCTAATAATGGATAAAGTCAGTTGTCGACAGATGCTCATCAAATGATTTGACGATTCTGATGGGAGACCTAGATGCCAAGGTTGGTATGGACAACACTGGATATGAAGACATCATGGGACGATATGGACTGGGAGAAAGGAAAGAAAATGGTGATAGATTTGCAAACCTATGTGCCTTTAACAAATTGGTCATCGGCGGCACAATGTTCCCACACGAACGCATACACAAAGCTACATGGATTTCACCGGACCACACTACTCAGAACCAAATCGACCATAAACGTATAAATATAAAATTCAGAGGGACCATGGAGAAAGTGAGAACCAAAAGAGTAGCTAATATAGCCTCAGATCACCACTTGCTGGTCGCCGAAATGAAACTGAAACTCAAGAAACACTGGACAACATGACAAAAGTTTAATACAGCATTTCTTAGGAATTCGGGCAAACTCAAGGAATTGTGGTGGTGTTTCGTTCTTTGAACTGGGTGCTTTGGTTGTGAAGTTTCCATTGTTCTTCAGAATAACATCCTCAGCACAAACTTCAGATACAAGTGAAGTATCAGCGAATTCAAGATAACCCTCAGCAATAGGTTCCAGGCCTTGCATGATCTACTCAATGGAAAGGCAAAAACCATGGAGAAAGATTGGGAAGGGATCAAGGAGGCAATCAATTCAACATGTCACGAGGTTCTGGGCCTCAAGAACCACCATCACAAGGAATGGATCTCTGTTGGTACCCTTGAAAAAATGAAAGGAAGGGGTAACAAGAAGGCTGCAGCCAACACCAACTCAACAAGAGCAGAGTCAAGGCACGAGCTGAATACACAGAAGCAAACATGCAAGTGAGGAAGAGCATCAAAGCCGATAAACGTAAAAATGTTGAAGATCTGGCACTGACAGCGGAAAAAGCTGCAAGCGAAGGAAACCTGAGACAATTTTACAATACAACAAAGAAGCTCGCTGGAAACTATCATAAACCAGAACGACCAGTGAAAAGCAAGGAAGGCAAAGTAATCAGCATTACTGAAGAACAGTGAAATAGGTGGGTAGAGCACTTTAAGGAACTCTTAAATCAACCAGCATCACTGAACACACCTAACATCGAAGCAGCATCTACGGACCGCTCAATCGATGTTGGTGCACCTACAATTGAAGAGATCAGCATAGCTATCAGACAAATCAAGAATGGAAAAGCAGCAAGGACAGACAACATTCCAGCAGAGGTAATAACAACAGACGTAGCAGCAGCGGCAAAACCATTCAGCATTCTCTTCAACAAAATTTGGGATGAGGAACAAGTGCCAATAGATTGGGAAGGATACCTCATTAAAGTACCAAAGAAGGTTGATCTCAGTAAGTGTGAGGACAACAGAGCCATCACTCTTCTTTCAATACCAGGCAGAGTCTTCAACAGGGTGTTGTTACACAGAATGAAGGACTTCGTAGACGCCCAACTTCGAGATCAACAGGCCGGATTTCGTAAGGATCGATCGTGTACTGACCAAATTGCAACATTACGGATCATTGTGGAACAATCAATTGAATGGAACTCACCACTCTACATCAACTTCATCGACTACGAGAAAGCATCCGATAGCGTGGACAGGAAAACACTATGGAGGCTTCTCCGACACCACGGTGTGCCTGAAAAGATAATTAACATCATACGGAATTCTTATGATGGATTCAACTGCAAAATCATACACGATGAACAGCTAACAGACTCTTTCGAGGTGAATACCGGTGTCAGGCAAGGTTACTTACTCTCACCCTTTCTCTTTCTCCTGGTGATCGACTGGATTATGAAGACGTCGACGTCTGGAGGCAAGCACGGTATCCAATGGACAGCCAGGATGCAGATGGATAATCTGGACTTCGCAGATGACCTGGCTCTTCTATTACACACGCAACAACAAATGCAAGAGAAGACAACCAGTGTAGCAGCAGCCTCTGCAGCAGTAGGTCTCAACATACATAAAGGAGAAAGCAAAATTCTCCGATGCAACACAACAATGCACCAACCAAATCACTCTTGATGGAGATGCCTTGGAGGACGTTAACACCTTTACATATCTTGACAGCGGAGGAGGAAATCAGGAAGAAGCGGTGGAATTTGATATAACACACACAGCAGAAAGCACCCAACTACGTCGCAAGACAAGCCCTCACTTGTAACCCTCAGGGTCAAAGAAAAAGAGGAAGGCCAAAAAACATATTACGCCGAGAAACGGAGACAAACATGAGAAGAATGAACAAAAATCGGACAGAACTGGAAAAGGAAGCCCAGAAGAGAGTTGGTCAGAGAACAATGGTCGGCGGTGTATGCTCAATAGTGGTTAACAGGTGTAAGTAAGTTAAAAAAAAATTAAAATTTAAAAAGTGGTTATCAGTGAAACTCCAAGTTAATATTCCACTTTATTTAGTATAGCATTGTTAAAATAAGACTCAAATTCGACATCTATTCCTCAAGATGCTAGATTATTGACAGTCATTATAATTATCTCTCATTTAATAGGTATAATTTATTCATAAGGTTTGATATATACAGGAGAATCAATTGATCACTGTCAATACAGAAAACTTAAACTCTGAAGAAGAATGTTTAACAGTTTACTGAACAATTACTGAACAATATAAAATACTTACCCTGCATATCATCATTAACCAGTATCCAAAAAAAGTTTATGTATTATTTAATTTATTTATGAATCACAGCATTAAGTAAGATATATACTACACAACATTACGACATAATTTCATGAGTTTATTTAAAGTATTAAAATAAGAAAAAAAGAATAATAACTTACTTTCTCTTTTTTAACTGTACTTCGACTTCGACTATAACTTTGATTTAGATTACGTTTATGTCGATTAACACGATATGCTGAAGATTCCAATTCTTTTAATTGAGGCTATTAGAATTATTTATAAACATAAAACATGGTTGAATCATTTCGAATTATTTAAACAAAATTAAATTAAATAGCAAAAATTCAGCTTTCATCATTATACAAATAGTATAAAGATTGAATCATCGAGTCTCAAATTCAAAACCTATTCTACTTACTTCTATTTGAACCATCGGCTAATTGAATCAGTCATGACTTAAAGTCAATTACATAAGGTTGTGCTTTGTAAATTAATCTTAAAAAAGCTGATGAAAATTAAGAGAAATCTTAAAGCTACGAAAACATTATATGTAAATGAGCTCAATTAACTGAAACTGTTCAATTCTTATTAGAAACGTGAAATAACAGCTTAGTTGCATGATTATTAAAATTTCTAAAATGAAAATACATTTATACAGGACTAATCAAACATTATTCGATGAAAAAAATTTTTTCATTGAAGTTGTACAATAAAATTTTTACTAATTTTACTTGTAGAAAAGTCTGCCGAAAAAAAAATGTAGTTAAATTATGTTATGATTTGTTTAAATTCATTGAAAATTGAATGAAGTTTCTGTTCTCTTTTAAAAAGCGATTAAAAGAAACAAGATGAATATAGATGATAGATGACTAATAAATGTTCAGATAATAAATATAAAAGAGAAAAATTGAATATTGTTAAAGTTAAAATTAATAATTCTGTAAAAAGAACACTAGCAATAATTATTTGTTAAGTATAAAAAGTAAGAAGGAAGCTAAAACTAAGGTTGAATGGGCATGTGAAAATTTTACTACGATACACAAAGATTAGACTTGACTTCTTCTTTTGGGCTACTCAAGTTTCAATTCGCTTTCATTTGAGATGATTTATTGGATTTCATGAACAAATTTAGTTGAGGATTCTGGGTAGAAAAAGGGAGTAGAATTTATTTAACTGTAAACTTATTTTAAGCAACCGAGCAGATTACTTCTAAGAAATGTAATTTGGAAATGATCTTTAGTTGTCGAATGTAATTTATTTTGTAGCAGTGTAAGTATAAACTCAACACTTATAAAACCATAAACCAAAGGTCAGGTGAAGAAAATTCGAATGTTTTTTTAAATCTCAAAAATCTGCTTTTGAGGATCGTTACAACCATATTGCTTTTAAATTCAATGTTTTTAAAAAGAATCACTCTTGTTCCTCTAATCAGTTTCTTATAATGATCTTTTGACTTTATCTTTCTACCAGTATATCTAAGAGAATGACCATTATTGAGAAATGTCTCCTACAATTTATCCTGTCCATTGTACATAATTTTACTTATGTAAAATTGCCTAGCCCTCAGGATTAAACAAAGCATTAAGTTTCTTTTTCGCGTTGGAGTGGTTCGGCTTTGAAATCCATATGCTAGTCATTTTTTTTATTAAAAAGCCGAGAAAATATGTTTTTGAGTGAAGCTTTGATTCTAGTATAAAAATTTGTTTAATTGATGGCAGTTACTGAACTTTATTATAATAATACTTTGTTGGATATCTTAGTCTCAAATGATAAAGTTTCTCCTAGATATCTTTTGTTTCAATAGATACTATTATTTTTATTAGTTTAAGTGTTAGCTATAATATAATCAGATAAAAGAAGGCCTTAATGATAACTCCATTAGAATCTTACAGGTTAGTCGGCAAAACCCTTTTAAAGATATAAACCATATGTTGAAATTGTATCAAATAAATGGTTCCTTCAGGATGGTGGAGAAGATTTGTAGCTCAGGTGGATGATTGTGGTGGTAGTGTTTGGTTCTCTGAGCTGGATGTTTTGGTTGTGGAGCTTTCATTGTTCTTCTGCTGAACAACATCATCAGCACAAACCTCAGATAGAAGTAGAGCATTCGAATTTCTCCATGTTTGACCTGTAGCTTGTTCTGCTAACCTCGATCTTTATTGGTTGCTGTTGACCTTAAACCCGTTGTTGTTTGCACATTTGTTTTGATTGTATCCCCCTTTTGATCTGTTTCTTGATCCTGTCACCTATGATTTTCCTGATTGGTTGATAAATTGGGTCGAAGTCGATGTACTTGTTGATTGCTGATTGACAAGAGTGCCAAGCTTCTAAAAATTCCCTAGTGTTCTTTGTCCTCCCCCTACCCAGTATTTCCAGATTGTTCCAATCAAATGTGTGTCCATAATTGTCGGTGTGTCTTGATATAAGCGAAGCGCTATCGTGACGTTTGACTTCTAATTGGTGTTCACGTAAACGAATCTTAGGAGGCCGTCCACTTTGTCCTATGTAGTGTTTTTCACAGTCTGAGCAATTTATTTTGTAGATGATATTTGGTTTTTCGTCATTTGTCATTTTGTCCTTTAGTCTATATAGGATTGCTTGAAACAATTCTGTTAGTTTGTGTGCTACACCTATTCCAAATGGTTTCAGTAGTCGTGCTGTATGCGCCCATATATCTTTTCTGTATGGTAGGATGATCCGTTTATTGGTTCCTGTAATTGATTTCGCTTCTTTAGGCAATGATTAAAAAAACCTCAACAATAAAGTTGTTATTTCCAACATAATCATTCTGACCCGTTATCATACATTCATAGTAAACTGTTTTCTTTTTTTAATTACTATCACTCTATTCATCAACTACATTAATTTAAATGACATTTAAATCTAAATATTACATAATCATTATGAACATGGATTTATCAATATTTTATTTCTTAAAGGAAATAAAAGATATTATTCATCTAAATAATTGTGTCTATAATGGAATGAGATAAACTGTCTGGAAAACCATTTAACCAATAATATCAATATTCAACTGAAGAAAACATCTTCAAATTAAGGAGATCTGTACGAACAATGTCAGTAAATAATACCCGTATATTTATAAGCAACTATGTCCGGTACATATTTTTCGAAATTTTAATGACAGGCTATAATCTGTAAAATTAGCTTTGTTGGTAATGTTGGAAATTGTCTACCAATTATATCTAATAACGATCACGTAATATTTCAATTTTCTTGTTTGAAAATTTCAAATACTGTATTCTGAATTAGTGGTCTAAAGCTAATGAGAATTATCTAAGGTGTGAATGTAGTGGGCCTGTTCTCTTGTGAAGCAGTAAAATGAACATTGTTAAGGAGGTAAAAACAGCTATTCAAGATTAAATAAACATGACAACGATCACCGTCCAGTAACCAATTATTTTTAAATATCTCAGTCTGACAAAAATTCACTTAGATGTCGGAAATATCAGTACCATCGTCTCAAATTGTAAAACCAGGTTCCTTCTAAAATCTCAAAAGATTGGGGTTCGCAGTTTTCTGACTACTACCTCTAAACAACTTGGCTTCACAATACTTTCTCAGTTTAAGAGATCCTTCAATAAATATACCTAAAAGTTGTGATTTTGGTAACTAAAAAAATTAAACAAGCATATACAATATTAATACAACGCTGAAAAATGGCACTAAACGTATAACTAACGTTTTTGTTTTTATTTTTTTTCACTGTTCATTGAAATTACTTTGAATCTGAGATAAATTTTCATCATTAATTAAATTCATGTGATGAAGCCTTATAAAATCCAGGAGTACTGGGTAGTTATTTCCGACCAGTTTGTAATTATTCAGCGTTATGCTCTGTCTAACCTACTAGTAATCAAACCTTAAGACAAACATTTTAACTAACTAACATTTGAACTACAGACTCGCCCTAAGTGTTCTCACAGTTAGGAAACTTCAACATCAATAGCAGAATCTGATAACTGCTAATTACAACACTTTCTTCTATTTCATCAGTCAATTCCTACAAGAACTTTATATTTCTGTTAGACACTAGTAAACATCTGAATAATATCTGCTTAATTGATTATGGATATGACCTCCAATTTCAAGATAGTTTTTATGACAGGTTAGCTTCAGCTACACAACAAGGTCAAGAATAATGTACCTGTTAGAATGTTAATTAGCTCTCATTTTATTTCATCAAAATTATTTAATCCAATAAATCCAATTGGATATTTACTACATACATAAACATTGAATTACAATGATATATTAGATTTTAAATTTGCATTACGGGGTTGTGAAGATTGTTAAGTTACACATTATTGAAACCATGAACCGATCAATGTTAGACCACCATTAAAACCTGGAAGCACTGGGCGGCCATTTCGTCCTGGTATACCGGCTCAGTGGTCTATCGGTTAGGGTTTGCGCACAATACCGAAGGTCCTGGGTTCGAATCCTGCGGGATGCAGGAGCCGTGGATGCGCACTGCTGAGGAGTCCCATACCAGGACGAAACAGCCGTCCAGTCCTTCCAGATTTTAAATTTTTTCATGAGTAATTTATTGGTTAATGGTGAAAAATCATACAGTTTATTATTATTATTATGTTATGAAATTGTTCCTTGTAATCATAGGGAACTAGTTTTTTTGCGAAAAAAAATAATTTAAGTTTTAAGAAAATATCTAATCAATACATTTAATCCATAATAATAATATCATTTAAACTCACCTCTAAATGTTTATATTTTGCCATTTGTTTTATTATAGGCTCTGGTAACAGTTTATTCAATGCATCAGCTAATTCGAAATGGGCATTTTCTAAATCCTTTATTTAATTTTTTTGTTGTTGTTAAAATAAGTTGAATGAAAAAAAAACAAAAAAATACAATAATACTCATGATTACGATGTTAATCAAATCAAATGTACAATATGAAATAACAGTTACATAAGTAGGTAAATAAATGATTTGTTGAAACCTCTTTTTCCTTTCCATAAGTGTTCAATTAACATATACACTTTTTTCATTTCGATAGGAATGAAATATAAGAATAAACTGACATAAACTTCAGACTTCTATCTGAATTTTGTGCTGATGATGTTGTTCAGAACAATGAAAGCTCCACAATCTCCAGAGAACTAAACACCACCACCACAATTATCCACCTGAGCTACAAATTTTCTCCACCATCTCAAACTGACATAAATAAATACAATTTTGAAGAGAATCATTCCAAACCAAAAGTATAAGAATACAATGTACAGAAAATTCCAAGAATATAAACACTTAGCTGATGTGGACTAATTTGGAAAAACAATCTTTTCATCAGCACTAACTGATCAATAAATAATAATAAATTAAGGCTTTCTAAATTATTTCTCAATTAACAAGTGAATATGTAAGATCTGATTGGTTAACTGTTGATCTTCTCTGAATAAATAGGTTTTTTTATTAATTTAGTTTAAATAATTTTGGTCAAATATACTGAATTTTTTTTTATTGAAGAATTATTATTAATCGATAAATGAAAATAAATTCTTAGATGAAATTAGCAGTTTAATGTAAAATATGAAATAAAAATGATTCGAGAAGTAGATTTCTAAATTATTTTAAACAAAAAAATATGAAAGAGATATTGTATGATTGAGAAGACTGAGACAGGCGCGAGAGATTGTATATAGCAAATTTACACTCTTAGTCAATTAAAAACGAAAACATTACATTGAACACTCTATTTGCACACCATCTTTGAGTCGTGACTTTCAACGCTCCATCCTTCTTCCGTTCCTGCTGTTGATTCCTTTACTTCCTGTTGGTACTCCATTTACTTCTTGCTTTTGCACCATTTGCTTTCTGTTTTCCTCTTGTGACCGTGAGAGTTCTTCTTTCACGTCCCTTCTTATACTACTTATATCGTTCGTATAAGTAGCACACACCACATGATGATTAACTCATTGGTTGAACAAAAAAGGATTGTTAACTTGTTAACATTATTGAGGGTTTTTCTTTTGGTGAAAAAATTAAACGTATACACAAAGCGATGTACTATGTCTTGCCCCACTACATATTGCGACTAATTCAAAGTAATTTACTTCTTTTTAATATTTTGAAATATCATAGAGACATAGATTCGGAGAAATGAAGAGTTTTATATTTCTGTAAAATTCTCATTACAGAATGAAATAGACACCCAGTACATTGTGATTTCAACCAATTCTCAAACCAACATACGATTATAATTGCTAATAGTGATAATAATAATTATTATTATTGTGATTTTCAATCATCTTAACTTACACGTGTTAACGGTAATATCATACTACAGGTTCCATTAGAATTAAGATAATGAAGAAGTGATTTTAACACTTCACTCATGGAATGTGTTGATTCTTTGAACAAAAAAAAAAATAAAAAATAAAACAGAATCAACAAATAATTTTCAATATAAGGAAACAAAAGTATGCATTGTAAGTGATTCATCTTGAGTACATGTTAATTATTGATTGCATAGCAACAAAAACTCTTGTTGTTGTTTGATTTTTTATCTTTATATTACTTTTGAAAAATCCAAAAACGTTTTTTACTACATCATGTAATTTTAATTAAACTCTAATTATCTGTGTTGTTGATTTACCATCAAAATAAAAAGAGACCAATTTCACTTATACTTAATTCAAGTATATTATATTCAAGTGTTTACATAGTATTTATAAAATATATACTTGTACAGTCAGAATTTTTTTTTAAAACTATAAACCTTAAGTATAACTAGCTTTAATAAAAATATTTGAACTGTTACTATAAAAAGTACGACAGTGATAAATTAAACACTAGGGATACTAAACCAAAAGTCAGTAAATTATGATGTATATGTTATATACATTTAATTATTGAATGGAAATGTCAAATGTTATGTTGAAATTGATAAACAATTCTCAAAGTTGATATCTTAATATAAGTTGTTAACTTTTTACCAGTTTGTTTAAACTTATATAAATTCAATTGTTTGATGATGGCTAATTCATCACTTTACCCTATGATGATGAACCTATGATGTTATCTAGCTAAGTTTGTGTACATTCCCTTGCGGTCAAAATACCAAAAAGGAATTTCGTCAAAGTGAAATATACTTTCTTTCAGTAAGATAATAGAGTATTGTCAATTTTTCTCAGGTAATAGCTTCTTGTTTATATAAAAAATTTTATTTTAATAAATTCTATTAGGTTTAAACTAAAAGCAAATTTATTAGCTTTTAGAACACCCCCTGTAGCTTTTCTACGGTTATTTCCGATCCCAATCCCGGATGATGGAAGAGAGTCGGACACACGGTTGGCAACTCCATCCCATAGAAAAAACAAACTTCCTGAAAAAACGATGGCCAGAAAAAATAATTCCAACCATATACACTTTGACCTGGGAGTTGGAAGGTCTTCATTTAGAAGAGGAATGACGTCTCATGATGAAAGTCAAGTTTCTTCAAAAGTCACAACAGTGATGCGCCTTTTCACAACCAGAAGAGAAATTTATATAGGTACTTGGAATGATCATACAATATGGGAGACTGATATAATCATTCCAGTGGTTGCAAAGACGAAAAGATACAACCTGGTGGTGCTTGGAACTGGCGAAACCCATTGGAGGCAGATTAGAAAAAAAGACTAGCTTCAGGTGAGACACTGTTATCCTCCGGTCTTGAAGAAGAAAATGCTTCAGATGCATAAGGAGTTGCAATGATGATAACTAAAGAAGCCCTAAAAGCACTTGTAGAATTGAAATCTGAAGGACACAGAATCATCGAAGCATCTTTCAAAGCAAGGAATGAGGGGATTATAATGAACGTCATCCAGTCCCGTGCACATACCAATGATAAAATTAAGGACGGTAAAAATCAATTATATGAGAGGATGTAGTCAGTCGTACAGAGATGCCTAACAAAGAATTTGACCATTCTAACGGGAGAACTAAACGCCAACTTTGGGATGGTCAAAACTGATTATGAAGACATTTCGGGATGACACGGACTGGGAAAGAGAAATCAAAACGATGACAGGTTCTCACATCTATGTGCCTTCAATAGAGTGGTCAGATGTGGCACTATATTCCCACACAAACGCATTCACAAATCAACATGTGTTTTCCAAGATCACACTTCAGAGAACCTGATTGATCACGTTGGTTCAATAAAAGTTCAGAAGGATCATAGAAGATATGAGAATAAAGAGAGGTGTTGATATAGCTTAAGACCATGAATTGGTAATGACCATGATAGGCCTAAACTCAAGAAGCACTAGACAACTGTGTGAATGGGATCACAAAGGTTTAATACATTTTTCCCCGAGATACTGGCAAACTCAGCGAATTCAAGATAACTCTCAACAATAAGTTCCAAGGCTTTTGACTATCTTTTCAATGAAGAGGAAACTGCCAGGCATAACAAATGAAAAGGGATCAAGGTGACTTAAGCATACCATAAGGTTTTGAGCTACAAGAATCACCATCACAAGCAATGGATCTCTGTTCATACCCTGAATAAGATTCAAGAACGGTGTAATAGGAATACAGCAACAAATGGCAGCCAAACAATAGCAGAGGAAGCCAAGGCACAATCTGTATACACGGCCTCAGACAATAACGTGAAGAGTGACAGTAGAGCTGAAAAACGTAAATATTTAAAAGGTCTAGCAAAGACAGCAGAAAATGCAGCGAAAGACGGAAACATGCGACAAGTATACGATACAACGAAGCTGGTGGCGAATATAGTAAATCAGAACGACCAGTGAAGAATCAGGAAGGTAAAGTAATCATAGACATTGTAGAACAGCAAAACAGGTAGATATATCACCTTGAAGAACTCTGGGATTAACCATCCACAATAAATCGACCCAATATCGAGGTAGCAACCAAAGACCTTCCTACTAATGTTGACCCTCCAACAATGGCTACTGGCAGGGAAACACTTCTGTTCTTCCCCGCAGACTGAACGTTGATTACAAAATTGAAAGGACAAAAATCGAACGTCCGACGCTTAAACACTAGAATTTGGATTTTCAATACCAGCTTCAAGACAATTATATTTTATGGAGCTAAAGCTTTGCGAACTACAAAAGCCATCATCCAAAACATACACAAGTTCACTACCATTATTTTGCGAAAGATATTGAGGATCCGTTGGCTGGACGTCATCAGTGACAAGCTACTGTGGCAGAGAACAAACAATCTTTCAGCTGAACAAGCAAATTAGGAAAAGAGCTGGAGGTGGATAGAACACACACGGAAGAAATCACCCAACTGTGACACGAGGCAACCCTTAACTTGAAACCTTCAAGCCCAATGAGAAAGGGATAAACAAACCAACAAACTGATTCGCCATTCTGACTTAATAACCTTTTCCTAATACTAGCAACGCTTACTCGATAGTACCAGGGTATATGAGCCATGCTTCGAAAAAGCTAATGACCGATTACTAGTAACCTACTAACATTCTGTATTCTTAGAAGCCATTTATCACCCCCCCCTAAAGTAAAACTGAACGAACTGCTGCGCTGTAAAGCCATACTTTCGTTAGCAAAGGGGTATTTAGCCTATTCCATAAATGACGCAGGTTGGCAAAAGCTAGTCAAGCCTTTCGTATCCTTGCTGAGATTTCGTTAGAAACTAGATCATTAGCATTGGCGAAACTCCCAAAATACGTAAAGTGGTCAACAGCCTCAACTACTTAACTCCTTATCACTAGTTCAGAGGCTGACACAAGCAATTCTGGAGCTAAAGGTTGCTTTTAAAGGCGGGAGAATTGCATTCTGAACGTCTTTAAATTGTTGCTTAAGGTGGTCAGGAGACTGTGCATTTTGTCAGAGTCTTCAACAAACAGAACTGTGTCATCGGCATATTCTAAGTTAACAAGTTAATCTTTTGGTAGAAGGTCAATCCTGAAAACTAATTCAACATACGTTTTGTCTCCGAAACCATATCCAGGACAAAATTAAGTAATAATTGAGACGGCTGATTCCTGTAATACTGTTTTACACTAATTTTTTAGTTTCCATATCCTAAAACTTGAAGTTATTCAAGCCCTACACACGATAATCAATGGTGTGTCAGAATCGGAAGTGATGCTTTAAGCTGTTTATCTGACTTCAACAATTAATAACGAGAATAAATGGCCTTAAAGTCACCATAGTGAAGATATATTCCTTTTCTATAACCCAATACATTTGAAATGACAATTATTATCAGAGATATACGCTTGTAACTTTAAAAACATATCAAAGCAATCGACACAGAATGAGCATAAGCCAAATCGACTATTGACTTGCAGTCCCGAACATCAATGGGAGGATACACACAGCCAGTAAAAATGTACAAAATGACAAATTCTCATAAATCTAAATAAAGCGACAAAACAAAATAGAAATCTGAACAACAACTTTTTCAATAACTGACTGCTACCGGTTACAACACAACTAATAAATACACTTATAAGGCATTAATTTAGGGGTATGGTGAAAAAATCCAAGTTAGCGATGTAATTTCGGAAGAAGAATGTTCATTTTATGGATCACTGGTAGTGGTACTTAGAGGGCTTGATAAGGAAACTCCCAATGCATCAAATATCATTTGCATACCGAAATTCACGAACTTCTAACAGTAATATAAGAATATTTAGTAAATTGCAAACGATATCCCAATTACGAACAATTATCAAGAGTTCATGGTCACCAGTCATGCAACAAAATATACAATTCTGGAAAGAAAACTTTTCTTGAGCATTATTTTACAGTATTTGGATAAAGGTTCCCGAACAATTTACAAGATTAGCCAGTGCCGTAAAAACAAGAATTGAGCGCAAAAACATCAATTGGTTTGTACTAGCTTGTGAAAAAGATATTGGAGTGCATATTTGAATAATCATAAGTACTCAAAATTGCAATTATAAGGTCACAAACGGTTCATATTCATACAATTTTATCCGAAAAAACGTTAAAATAAAGTTTTGAGTAAACTTAATAAACAAATATTTTTAGATAATATATGATGTTCTTATTAATATATAAAAATTTATATAACTGGTGTGAAAACAAATGTGTTAAAACTTGACTAAGAAGTCCACATCCGAATCATAATGAAAATACAAATGGTGCTCACTTCTATTTAGAACGATTAGATTATTTATTTCCGCGAATATAACTGCCATAAGGCGCTACAGATCAACTGATTAATCACAGTGATTTGCTTACATGTTTCTGTCTGGTTTTAGCTATCGAATCGCCAATGTTTGCATCGTCAAGCTCATAAAATCTCCTTCTCTGAAAGGTTTCGATTTTTTCAGAGAAAAACATACCAGACTTCTAAACACTCTCATCCCTGCAGCAATTCGG